CTGGTCCCCAGAGGGTGCTCTCGTCATGGGTTTGCCAGTCTGCTTCCAATGGGAAGGAAGTCTGGCTGGCAAGGAGAGCCCAGAAATATTCCCGATGGGGTCCAGCTGCAGGCTGCAATTTTCTCTGGCATGTTCTTTGCTCTGTCCTGCTGAGAGCCACCAGCACTCACACGGGGAGTGAGTGTGAGGCTATGCAAGGAAAAAAGCACCAAGAACCTCATTGCATGAATCCAAGAGCATTGACTCACAGAGTGGTTTGGGTTGGAAGGGACCATCCGTTTTCTTCATCTCTGTGATCTTTTCCAGTTCTTCTCCATCTTTTCTGGGCCAGGCACCAAAGCCACACACAGCCATGAGCACCCTCTGCTTTACACAAGGGCAGAAGTGGTATTTTCTGCTGGAAGTCCTTTCCTTGCAATTTCTGGAGCCTTTTACACTTTTTAAGTACTCCTGAACCTTTACAGAAACATAGAATTTTAGGGGTTGGAATGGAGCTTAGAGATGATCCAGTGCCAACCCCCTGCCCTGGGCAGGGACACCTCCCACCAGAACAGGTTGGTCAAGGCTTCATCCAGCCTGGCTTTGAGCACTGCCAGGGTTGGAGCAGCCACAGCCTCCCTGGGCAACCAGCTGATGCTCTCAGAGAACTGCCTGAATTACCCTCAGCTCTTGACAGGCAATAGCTCGAGTCCCCCAGCACCCAGCAAGGGATGTGCTTCACTCTGTCCTTACCAACACTGAATCTCATTTCCCATGTTATCACCCACTCTCTCAGCAGCCAAAATCCTTCTGCAGCACTCTCCAGCCACCTTTAGCTATGACTGTTCTGAACTATTTTCTCTACCAGCAACGTTGTCACCATGCTATTTACAGCCTTTTCGCCATCACGGAGGAATATGCTGAAAATTCCAGCCCCAGTGGAGATACCTTAAGCATCCAACAGGCAATCTCTCTGCATTTCAACTAGTTTGTCTCATCTTTGCTAGCTGTTGATCTGATACAGCTCAGTGTCTCTGGAAACTCTATGACAGACCATCTTAAAAGCATTTTTGGATGGCATTCTATCCATCAGATCACTGTGGTCCACACACACCACCTCTCCTTCCAGCAGCTCTAACAGATTTCTGAGCCACAACATTCCTTTAAAAAGTACATTGGCTCTCTCTCATGTTATTGTATTTCTAGAATCATAGATCCATGTAACAGATTTCTGAGCCACAACATTCCTCTAAAAAGTACATTGGCTCTCTCTCAGGTTATAGTATTTCTAGAATCATAGATCCATAATCACCCACTCTCTCAGCAGCCAAAATCCTTCTGCAGCACTCTCCAGCCACCTTTAGCTATGACTGTTCTGAACTATTTTCTCTACCAGCAACGTTGTCACCATGCTATTTACAGCCTTTTCGCCATCACGGAGGAATATGCTGAAAATTCCAGCCCCAGTGGAGATACCTTAAGCATCCAACAGGCAATCTCTCTGCATTTCAACTAGTTTGTCTCATCTTTGCTAGCTGTTGATCTGATACAGCTCAGTGTCTCTGGAAACTCTATGACAGACCATCTTAAAAGCATTTTTTGATGGCATTCTATCCATCAGATCACTGTGGTCCACACACACCACCTCTCCTTCCAGCAGCTCTAACAGATTTCTGAGCCACAACATTCCTTTAAAAAGTACATTGGCTCTCTCTCATGTTATTGTATTTCTAGAATCATAGATCCATGGAATATTCTGAGCTGGACGGACTCACAAGGATCATCAGTTCAACTCCTGCCCTGCACAGGACACCCCAACAACCCATCCTGTGCCTGAGA